GTATCTTTGGCGTCTTGTTGTGTGCCTGCAGCGGGCACCCCAGTATTTAGTGTATGGGAAGACTTTCTCTGTGGGGTGGGCGTTAGAACCCCCAGTTCCTGGGTTAGGAGGCTGCTGATAGCAGACCAGGACCTGCCCCTGTTTGCTCTGCTGCTGACATGTGCCACTAGGAACACTCTCCTTGCTCCCCTTACTTTATTTCCTTAAAAAAAAAAAAAAAAAAAAAAAAAAAGTGTGACTTCGGGCCCTAGGGAAGACAGGATCTGATTGTAAACAGAGCCCTCTGCTGGCCGTTGGGGTCTCTGGCACCTACCCCTTCCCTCTGGAGTGGGGCCAGCCAGGACTCTCTCCCGAGCCATGATTTCACCATCACTCATCTGCATGTGCACCAGAGTGGACAGGGTCTGCTTTCGATCCTTATCTCTCCGGTGGCGGGCTCTCAGCCAGCAGGCAGATCAAACGATGGAATGTGTTCGCTTGGCCGTTTTAAAAAAAAAAAAAAAATCAAGGTCCAAGGGTTCACTTCTAAAAGACGAGGGCGCCGGGGATTAGATTATCCGGAGAGTTGAACCACTCTGGCTTTTGTGATTTTTTTTTTCTTTTTTAAAGGGTTCATCTCAAGTTTCTTTTTCTAGTTGAACAAGTTTTTTTTTTTTTCAAAATTAATAACTAATGGAAAAGAGGAAGAGGCAAAGTAGAACCATATGACGGCGCACACAGGCTTGCTTGTGGCCGGAAGCTTCTGATTTGTGTTGCCTTTCATGCCATCAGCTGTTGGGTTAGATAGTAGGAAAGCACACCATTTGGGCAGGAGCAGCACAGTGATGTATTTCTTAACCCAGCTGAACTGTGTCCCTTATGCCCCTCCCTAGATGCTGGCTAGTGACTTGTGTGACTCTGGGCAGCTTGTTTCTCAGGCCCCATGTGCCCCTCCTTAAGAGAAACAGTCTCTATGAAGACCTGCCCTGGGGATTGGAATGAGTAATGCCGACAGACTTGGTCCCACAGTGGCTGACACTCATCTCTTTTGTGGCTTATCATTGCCATTATCTGGTATAGGGTTTTGCTATGTTGCCTACACTGGTCTTGAACTCACGGAGTCAAGTGATCCTTCTGCCTCAGCCTCCTGAGTAGTTGGGACAATAGGCACATGCCACAGTCCTGGCCCCTGTTATAGCTTTCTTGACTGTGCTTGGGTAAACCCAAAGCCAGATGAGAGCTCTTGGTGGTTCCAGCCCCTGGCTAGAGGCCACTCTCCTGTGTGGCACTCTGAGCCTTCCCTCTGTCCCCGCAGCATGGTGTTACTATTCCCAGTCACTGGAAGTTAAGTACTCCCAGCAGCCTGGGTTGGTCTACACCCTTAGTGTTAGGTTCCATACAAAGGCCCGTGATGGCAGGTAAATCAAGTGTGCAGTCTGGGCAGTGACCAAAAGCCATCTGGGCTGGCTTGGTTCCTCACCTTAAAGGCTGCAGAGCTGCCGCCACACAGCACAAACTGGTCATGCTTTTAAATTGCTCCGTAAACTTAAGATTCGTGAGATCCTAAAGTATGGCCCACCCAGTGAGTGGGAAGAACCGAGGGGAGAAGCTTTGAATAATTGACTGAGTGTCAAAGGTGAGCTGCCATTGTTCTCCAGTGTGATCTCAGGCACAAGACCCCATGTCCATTCCATGGGACCTGAGCACAGATTGAGACCCCTCTGCAGCTGATGGGACACAGTACTCTGCTAGGGGTGCCCTCATGGCCTTGGTGGACACAGCATTAACCCAGGAGCATCGACAAGAGTCAGGAAGAAACAGTCTCCTGGTGGTATTAGGATAGGCAGCTCAGGCTCATTCACAGTCCTGCTGACACCAGTGTCCAGGAGTCCCTGTAGAGAAGTTGGAGTAGAGGATGGATCTGCAAGAACAGTGGGACATAAAAAGGGAATGTGATAGACTGCTAGTTTAAACAAGCAATAATAACTGTCCCATATAACATTTGAGACAGGGTCAAACTAAAATGGTCTTCACTATAAATCTGAAATTTATATTTAACCGATCATCCTACAGTTTATACACCAGCCCTCAGTGGGGAGGGTTTTTAACAGGCTTGCATGTTGAGGGGACAGTTAGTAGGCCAGTCTCGGGAAGGATGGCAGGATGGGTGGGTGGTGCCCCAGTGCACCCTGGGGCAGTGACGACCACAGTGGTGTTGCTCCAGGCTTGATCGTCTTTGACTAGAAGAAGAGGGCACGGTGCAAATAGAACTTGAAAATATGGCCCAACTTGAGAACTTATCCTTAAGGGCCTCGAGTGGGTGGAGAGCCAGGCAGCTGTGACCCATCCCAGGTGCTTGTGCGCTGAGCGTGTCTCTGTCCTACGTTATCTTCATTGCTTTCCCCGTGTGCTGCCAGAGACTCAGTTGAAATGTAAGCTCTTCTGTGGCTGGTCAGGACTGGACTGATGGGCTTCCAGAAGCCAGGGCAGCTCTTCGGGGACGGCTAGTCTCTGGCATGAATTACCTGCTCTTTTTGACAGATTTTTAAATTTCATTTTTGTTCATATATATTTTTAGCAGGGCAGTGGCCCAAGATTTTCTGATTGCCTTTCTAACATTGCTGAGACCCTTCAGGCTGGGTTTGGGGGTTTGGTGTGGTGGTGGGGTTGGTTGTTATTTGAAATACTGAGGATTGAACTTAGGACCTCACGCATAAAAGGAAAGTGCTCTGCCTCTGAACTGTATTCTCAGACATCTATTTTTTTCTTGAGACAAGGTCTTAAGTTATTCCGGTTGGTTTGAAATTCATTCTACAACTTAGGCTGTCTTTGAACTTAGGATCCTCCTGCCACAGCCTCCCGATATAGGGTTATAGGACTGTACCACCAGGCCTGGCCATGCTGACATTGAACTCAGAGGCTCAAATCCTCATGCACACATACCCCTAGTAGCTAGGACTACAAACGCACACAGCTGTGCCCAGCTGGAAATTGATCCTCTTTCCGACAGTTCCCATCACCTTGCCGGCCTGGCCGGTAAGGGAGAACTGGCTTCTCAAGCATCCCTCAGCACCCACTGTCTGAAGCAGTGTGGTACATTGAGGTGCAGAGGGGGCTGGCATTGCTAGCCAGTATTAGCAGACAATGAGACATGAGACTAAGAGGAATAGGGCGTGCCCGTCCAGGGAGTCCCCAGCAACAGCCCAATGTCGTGATTGGGCCTTGGTGACAAGCTACAGCATGAAAGGTGGCGTGCAGGTGCCAGGGTCATTTCATTGAGCAAACCCAGCTGCCTCCTGGAAGCTTGTGGCACATCCAGGGTGTCCCAGGTGGAGGGTTCTAGCTATAACTGAGGAGCAGTGAAGACTGGGAGGAGCTGTGCACCTTTGTCCTTGCTGTCCAGAGAGACAAAATGGAGGATCTTGGGAGTCAGCTAGCCCTGGAGCAGATGCCTGTATTCACTGCTGGCTGTTGGTGTGAACCTTGGGCAGCTTAAGGATCTGGTCCTCAGACCCTGTAATCTGTAAAACACAGTAGTGGCTACCTCTTTCATGTCCTAGTATGAGCGTTCAGGTAAAGAGCATGTTTTGCCATACCTGGCCCAGCATCGCAGACAATGCCCAGTGGGCACCTAGACATGATAAGAGAGTGATGTCACCAAAGCCAGCTTTGAAAATAACCCCATTTGAAAATGGGGTGTACAGGTACAAGTGGACCAAGTTCGGTTTTCTTTTAAATTTTTTTAAATTCTTTTTATAAGTTTTAAAAGCAATTTATTTAACTTTATGTGCATTGGTATGAAGGTATCAGATCCCCTGGAGTTGGAGTTACAGATAATTGTGAGCTGCCATGTGGGTGCTGGGAATTGAACCCGGGTCCTCTGGAAGAACAGCCAGTGCTCTTAACCATTGAGGCATCTCCAGCCCCTGACCAAGTTCTGAAAACAAGTGTGTCACGCTTTGGCTGGAGGTGTGTACTGTTTCTCTGAGACTGATGTATGTACAGGAGATGGACCATCCCATGGAGCAAGAGATACTTTAGCACTTGCCAAGCTAAGCAGTGATGTGCCCCAAGGACAGCAGCATGTCGTATCAGAGCCTGGTTGTCTTAGGGGTGCTATAGCCTTTGGGACACAGGACCTGAACTGCTGATAGCCCCCTCTGTTGGCAGTCTCTGTTCCAAGAGTTACTGGTATGGTAAATGATGAGGCAGGGTCCTCATAAACCCAGACCCAAAAATGAGAAAGTCAGGACATGGAAACTGGAAGTGACTCAAACAGAAAGGCATCCGCTCCTGCAAGGGCTGCCATCCCTTCCTGGAATATTTTGGTGGAAACTGATGTTTGTGTTGGGAGGAGGCAGGCCCAGCCTGCTCCCTCAAAGGCTATGGTGGCCATTGGCAGTATCCTGTGGTTTGTTCCAGCCACCTGGGCCACAAAGCTGTCTACCTGTTACCTTCGGCTGTGCACCCAGGTGAAGCTGCAGAGGTGAGCTTCTGTGCTCTCTGCTGTGGAAAGCGTAGCCACCTCTGTAGCAGTTTCAGCTGGCTACGAGCAGCCTGGTAATAGTTGGCCAGGGGCCTGGAAAGTGCTGGAAACTCCACCCAGCATGGGGGAGCCTGTGGGAGTTCTCCAGAGCCCAGTTATTCTTTGAGTTCTTTGCATTCCTGTGTATTTGAAGTGTTTGCCTTCTTCTCAAGGCCTGAGCTGGTATTTTGTCCACCAGAGACCAGTACCCAGCACACACATCCTCATACTCATAGACCACCCTGGTGGTCAGGTAATTAAAGCCACACCCGGGTTTGGAAAGAAAGCTACATTGGAAGTCACGCTCCACGACAACTCACGACCAGGTTTCTTTATAGAGAGATGCAGTTGGTGTTGGGCACATGTGGAGAGGAACAGACTCAGATTTTTGGCAGGGCACTACAAACCAGATGTCAAAGCCTGACCTTGAGGTGGCAGAACCTGAGTTGGAGGTGCTGCTTTAACCACACTTCTCCCTGTCCCCTCTCTTCGCCAGGTCCCCAGTCTGTGTGAAGATCTCCTGTCTTCGGTTGACCAGCCACTGAAAATTGCCAGAGACAAGGTGGTGGGCAAGGATTACCTTTTATGCGACTACAACAGAGATGGGGACTCCTATAGGTGAGCTCACACCGCAGTGCTCGTCTCTGTGGCACCAGGACTTCCTTCTCTTTCCCCCTCCTTTCCGCTACCCATCCAGTCCACTAACAGGCGTGTGTGGGTGCCTCCCTGAGCACTGGACAGAGGGACCCCAGTGTCCTGCAGTCTCATGGAAGAGCCACGCTCTTTGAAAGCCAGCTGCCCCGTGCGGTGGCATGTCCTTCCTTCCTCTCTCTCTCCCTTCCCCTGCCCGCCACCACATGGCCTGCTGTAAGAGGTCCCTGCCCAGGAAAACACACATCCAGTAGCTGATGAACTATACTGTGGTACAGACAGCCAGTTCAGAGTTGGCTCGGAACCTTGGGGGAGCCAAGAAGAAGCCGTGGTCAATTCCAGAAGGACTTTGTGAAGCAGATGATGCTGGGATAGATGTTTTTAATAGGCGAAAACTAACCAACCAACCAACCAGTTATTTTGAGGGAGTCTCGTCATGTATCCCTTGCTAGCTTGGAACTCGCTCTGTAGACCAGGCTGGTCTCAAACTCAGAGATCCTTGTGCCTCTGCCTCCCTGGTGCTGGGATGAAATGTGTGTACCACCATGCCTGGCACACGGGATAATTTCCCTTAAAAATTCAAGTGTGGTCGGGCAGTGGTGGCACACACCTTTCATCCCAGCACACGGGAGGCAGAGGCAAGTGGATCTCTGTGAGTTCAAGACCAGCCTGGTCTACAAGAGCTAGTTCCAGGACAGGCTCTAAAGCCACAGGGAAACCCTGAAGAAGAAAAAAAAAAAAAAAAAAAAAAAAAAAAAAAGCCAACTTTCCAAGTGTGAGAGTCCCTAGAACATTCCAGGATTTCCCTGGGCCTGCACACACTGAGTTTTTTGGGCCACACTATGCGCCCTTTGGAGAGCATTGGAGAAATGGACCGAGTGGCTGGGAGTGGCAGTGTGGGCTCCAAACCAGCACTGGGACTTTAGCCAGTCCCTTGTCATCTCTGCCTCGCTGAACAGAAATAGTGGTCATTCATCCAACAGAACATGCAGAAGCATCATGCTGTTAAGTGTCACCTGTGTTCCAGGTCCTGTTCACGGCTTTTTTCCTGTGAGGACAAGCACGTGCATAAATGATAGAGATTGCAAACATATTGCTAAAGAGAACAGGGCAAGAGAGGGAGAGGCAGAGTGGGTAGCCAGGAAGGTGTAGGTGGAATTTTGGGTCCTGCCTGCCCGCTCCCAGATAACCACACAGACTTATGAATTATAAATGCTCGCCCAGTAACTTAGGCTTGTTACTCGCTCTTACAACTTAAATTAACTCATATTTCTTATGTACGTTCTACCACGTGGCTTGGTACCTTTCCTCAACACGGCACGTTCATCTCCTTCCCGAGTCTCCTGGTGACTCCACCCTTCTTCATCCCAGTACTTTCTCCCTGTCCACAAGTCCCACCTGACATTTCCCTACCTAGCTGTTGACCACTTAGTAGACTGCCTTGAAAGTGACAACCCTGTGGTAGGCCAGGCACGGGGCTCAGTTAGGGCTCCCTGGGAGTCTCGACAGCACCATTTCTGGGTGATGTAGCTGCTGTGCTGGAGCTCAGGAAAGGACAGCATGAAGTCTGGGCTTGTGTGCCCCTCCCGCTAGGGCTTCAGCGCACCCTGGGCACCCTGAAAGGCCTCACTCCAGCTCCAGGGGGCTCTGGGAACCAGGGCCTCCCAGGGGAGCAGAGAGGGGGTAAGGAGAGAGCTTGACTTCCCTCTCCCCTTCTGCATCTGAAATTTCAAGGTCCTGTGATTTTTCTCCACACATTTCCATCCTGTGTTTGATCGTTGGCTTAAATAAGATCCGTATGATGCGGCTGCTGCCAGCAGCGTTGCTTGAAACCTGTTAGCCGAAACAAAAAAGCCTTCTGGGGAAATGAAAGGCCTGACTTTTGAAATCTAAGCATTCCTGTCCATCTGTCTTTTCTCAAATGGCTTCCATTTAAGCTCTTAAATGTGTTCTGAGTGCCCCTTCCACTAAGAATATTCTGGGTAATGTTATGATTTTTTTCCCCCAGCTACAATTACCCCGGCTCCAGGCCTAACGGCTTGAAATACCGTCGTCTGTGAGGCAGGAGAAATGTGTAACACTTAGAGGCTTCTTACACTTCAGGCCCAGGCTGCATGGGATGGGTGATTGTGCCCTAGCAGGTTGCTTTGGTTTTGTCTAGATTTTTAACCACATTTATGTTCTCTCTCTCTCTCTCTCTCTCTCTCTCTCTCTCTCTCTCTCTCTCTCTCTGTGTGTGTGGGGGGGGGGTCTTGGGGATTGAACTTGGGTCATCGGGCTTGTCAGCAACTGTCACCTTACTGGTCCAGGTTGCCTTTCAGAGAGAGCCATGGGCTGGATCTTTTGTGTCCATGTGAAGGCAATGGCAGGGTGGACTCACCCTGCTTACAGATAAAGAGAATTCTCAGAGGAAGCTCACAGTCCTGGCTTCCTTCCCTTCCTCTTCCTCCTTCTCTTCCCTTTTCACTTGTTTTGTTGTATTTGGAGATATGGCCTAGTTAGATTGCTCAGGCTAGACTCAAGCTTGACTTTCCTGTACCCACTTCACAATTGCCAGGACTACAGGCATGCAATATCACCCCAGCTCCGTCTTTACTCCCTGTCTGTTGGCCTGAAGGACCCTGCAGAGTTTGTCAGGGTGTCTTGAAGACTCAAGCTAGTTCTGGTCTTGGGGTGGCCCAGGCTATTTACTCCCCCTTTCCCATCAGTCTTAGGTCTTCAATCTTTTGGGAAGGGTCGGCAGGCTTGAGCTTGGAAAGGATGTTTCTTGTTTGTTTGGGAATTGAGCCTGGGGACTTGAACATGGACAGGTTTCTCTATGTGGTCAGGTGTATTCACAGCTCCCCCCCCCCCTTCAGAAGGTAACAAGGAGACCTTCTTAAAAACACCTCCCATTGCTCTTGGTGATCTAATGTTCTCCTGGTGAGGGAAAAGGTGCTTTTCAAATGCAGCAAGTTGGGGGCTGGTTCTCTTTACTTCCGGTGTGCTTAGCCCTGTGTGCTGGGTTTGTTGACTGTGTTCCCTAAGGACCCAGGCCCCTCCTGCCTGCTCCTGTAACTGATAGCAGTCTAGAGTCTGAGGTCAGAGGAGCCTCCAGCAAGTCAGGGGGAGATGGGCACTGGCTGACCACTTTGATGGTGAACACAGGGAAACACTAGTATTTGTGGCCAAGGCACTTGACATTCTATCTGTTCCTCAAAATAGCCCAAGGGTAGTGAATGGTAGGTAGCCTTGTTTCCCATAGGAGAAGGTGAGGTCGAAGCTAAGGTGTTTGCTGGTGTTAACAGCTACATTTAGCCTGTCTGCCCACATCTGAACCTTTTCTTTGCTCTATAAGTCTCTCCAGAAAACCACTTGGTGACTTGGCCCCTGAACTTCAGGCAGCTAGGCTTGGGCCTTCTGTTTATAAGCCAGGGGACTCTGGAATGATTCATAGGACCATCTCCTTCTTTGCTACCTTCCAGGTCACCGTGGAGTAACAAGTATGATCCTCCTTTGGAAGATGGGGCCATGCCGTCTGCTCGACTGAGAAAGCTAGAAGTGGAGGCCAACAATGCCTTCGACCAATACCGAGACCTGTGAGTTACTCTGCACATTAGCTCTCGGGGCTTTCATGGGGGGAATCTTCCGTGAGAGCGTGACTAGGCTGACTAGGCTGAGCAGCCTCCCTTGCCCTGCTGCCTCACTTGCTAAAGTTGGAGCCACCTGATGCAGACGTGACCATATTGTTCTGTCACCATTCACACCATTCACAGGGAGTCGGGAGAGCACATGTGTATGTAAGACGCGGGGCAGAGGTTTATCGTTCCCGCTGTCTTGGGTCCTCTCAATGCATAGCTGGATGGTAGTGCAGCCGGCACATAGTGCTCACACAGAGAGAATGAGGCGTCTGTCCAAGGCAGGGGCACAACTAAGACTCACACATGGCCGATCACTCACGAGTGCGCAGTTACGATACAGAATGTCTATGTAGCTTGGGCGGGCTGAGTTTGTGATCACTTGCGGAGATTACAGGTGTACCAGAACACACCACAGCTCTTAGATAGAACTCCGTTTGGACTGGAGCTTGGGGGCTCAGGCTGACTGCTCAGTCGCCAGAGCAGAATGACCTGGGGTTTCATGCATTGGGACATGGCAACCCCTACCCTCTTTTTCACCTCCCTTCCTTCCTTTGGTGCATGTGTGTGGTGTGTATAAATATGGACACATGGAGGCCGGAGGTCAGTGTCATGTATCTTCACACACACACACACACACACACACACACACACACACACACACACACAGGGTTTCCCTGTGTAGCCCCTGCAGTCCTAGAACTCACTCTGTAGACCATGCTGGCCTTTAATTCAGACATGCACCTGCCTCTGCCTCCCAAGTGTTGGGATTAAAGATGTGCACCACACTCCCCTTCTTATGTATTGAAGCAGGGTCTCTCTGGACCTGGGGCACACCTGTTTGGAAACACTCACTGGCTAGCAAACCCCAAGACTCTCCCTTATCTCGCACCCACCTACCCAAGTGCTTGGGTTATACCCTTACACTACCATGCCCAGCTCTGTTTTACATGAGGGATGAGGGTTAGGACTCAGGTCCCCATGCTTGCACAGCCAGCGTCTCACCAACGGAGCCACCTCCTTTGACACCAGGTGAACGTCTGAGTCTGAAGCCGGTCAGGGCACCAGCACAGGAAAGTGTCCTGCCTCCAGTCCATTTTTGCTCCAGTTTTACCACTCTTCAAGAAAGAGCTCTAGAGAGGCCATGTGTTTAACCAGTAGAATCTCATTTCAGGTTAAGTTCATGTCTGGTGACCATGGACCGTGGCCACCTCCATTAGGGACCCCCCCCCCCAGAAATAAATCGACATTCAGAAGTGCATTCATCCACGTTCACCAGCCAGAACGTGGCAGAACTAGGGGATGAGACCATGCTGTTCTCCTTTGCTTTCTGTCACTGTGATAAACACTGACTAAGAGCAGCTTTGGAGAGGAAGGGGTTTGTCTGCCTTGGGGGTTGCAGTTAGTTAATCACTGAGGGAAGAGGCAGGAGTTCGGGCAGAGATCTTGGAGGGATGCTGCTTATGGGCTTGATGTCCATGACTTGCTCAGTTACCTTTCTTATGTAATCCAGGACCACCTTCTGAAGGGTGGCATTTCCCACAGTGGCCCAGGCCCTCCAGATACTCCCACGTAAATCAGTAATCAAGAAAATGGCCCCACAGACTTGCCCACAGCCAGTCTGATGGAGGCAATCCCTCAGTTGAGGTTTCCTCTTCTTCAGTTGATTATTTTGAGTCAAGTTAACAAAAACCAACCAGGATACATAACCAGGACACATCCTCACCCAACTCCGGAGTCGTGCGTGAGTGTGTGCGTGCTGTGAGTGTGTGCGTGCTGTGTGTGTGTTCCATTTGTTTTGGTTCTTTGAGACAGGTGTCTGTGAGGCCTTTGTGTGGCACTGAGGGCTTTTCCACATTGTTGCCTGGTGTGCAGGGTGGCAGACCATGCCTTTTTCTCTCTTCACTGCTACCCTTCCCAGCCATTGACCTATGCCCACAGGGAATCTTAGTTGTCACTAATGAAGCCACAGAGCCCTTCTAGGGACTTGTGCACTTGTCCTTTTTTCATGTTGCCAAACACCAAGCAGACAGGTCCTCTGAGAGGAGACATCCCACCCAATGCTAGATTGTTCCAAGGATCCAGGCAGGCAGGCCTGGTGGGAATACACTCATCTTCCGCCAAAGTCACCCCTTCCAGAAATAGAAAAGGTACAAGTGAACGTGTGAGCGTGTGAACATGAACAGTGCCTCCGTGCAGGCCATGCTGGGCCCTGGAAGGCTGGAGCTGCTGTGCTATGGGAGGGGTGTGTGACATCAGGCTCACCTTTAACTTCTGATTGTCAGTAATTCAGGATTCTTGGGTCATGATAAATCGCAGAGGAGAATCCATGCTTGACCTTTGCTCAAGGCTGCAACATCTCCCCTATTATATGAGGGACTTCCAGGCTTTGGACACAGCAGAACTACAGTGTCCTCTTGGTGAACGCTGGGCTGCTGTGACCCTTCCGGGAGGTTCACACTCCTTTATACCGAGAAGACTGCACTGAGCCTGCTCATACAGGGGTTTGACACACATTCCCAACAGAATACAGGGGCTTAGATGCCATGGCCCTGCTGCCCATGAGGCCGTGCGTGCGTGCGTGCGTGCGTGCAGCATCGTCACCACCCACATATGGTCATGGTCACTTACCTGCTGTGCCCTTGTCTTTTATGCTAGTTTTCCTTAGAAGGTGACTGGAGGACAGGGCAGGGGGTGTGTGGGGCTGCATCAGCCCTTCCAGAGATGGGGTGCTCAGGGCCTCCCTCAGGGCTCTCTGCCATGAGATCCAAGGAGAGAGAGACTAGATTCTGTCTCCAGGCCTCAGCTTTGATCCCAGGCCTGTACAGGCTTTGACTTTGCAGGGAATTGGAGTTAATCACCCGCACATGGGGGCCGTCTGGTCGGAGTGGCGGCTGGGGCCAGCCAGGGTGGCTGCCATGCATGCCCTCTGGCTTAGAACTCCCATGGGGATGTAATACACATGCAAGCCTGTGAACACTTCTCAATTAGGGATAAAGCGCTAGCAGTCCCCAAGGTGGACAAGGGCAAGTAGGACCCAGGGAGCCATACTGGGGTCCTCCCTGACTGCCTTTGAAGTCCCTTGGCTCCCACTTTCCCTGCTCCCTGCCCCCCCCCCACTGTGCCTCTCCAGCCTTCCTTCCCCCCATTTACTTACTTCTTTCTTTGCTGGCCTGGACAGAAATAATCATGACTTTTCCCCCTTCCCTCTTGGAGAGTACCTGTGACAGCAGTGCCCCGACAGCCTAGGTTTCAGAATCAGAGTTGATTTGTGTCGCTGCCCAGGGTGCCAGGTGGGCTTTGCCTCAGGGACAGACTGTAAGGTACCACCTGCTCCAAGTCTTCCCAGACCCCACCACTTCCGCTCTGGCCCTGGAATCCCAGCTGTCATCTCTCTCTCCCAAGTCCCAAGGTAGTTTTCTGCCCGTAATGGTATAGCCAGCTCCATGTAGGGAATGTGTGGGATTAAAGGGAGCTGAAAAGGGGGAGTGGAGACGGCAAGGTCATGGATTGCTGTACACTCTTTCCCAGCAGAGGCCATAGTCAGCTCTCCCAGGCTCAGACCGAGTCTAGTTCACAGCCAGGCTTCTCTACATGGCCTGAGACCTGTCTTTCTGGGGAGGAAGCTAGAGTGGACTCGCCGGTTTGGGGCAGTGGCTCCTCTCTGTTGGGGACAGGACCATCTCACCAGCCAGAGCCACCACAGTAGACTGATAGGAGCCCAAACTCATCACCTTGGTCTTTGAGGTTCCCAGAGAAGACAGGGGTCCTGCCCCCCTCCAGCTCTCAGGTTAGATCTGGCCCGGCCTCCTGTTGTGCCCCAAAGCAGATGTCCTAACTGAGGGGGCTGGCAGCGCTCACTCCCAGAGCTCATTACTCCCATCTGCACCAGACGTCTTCCCTGTGCGCTGCAATCCCTGGCTCTTAGCTTGGAGCAGATAATACCTTCAAACATGCGGTTGCAATTTATTGGCCTTATGAGTTAATTTTAGGGGGTGTGCAATTGATTGAAATCAAAACTTAATGAAGGCCAGAGTCTAGGGGTCCAGGATCAGGGTTGGAAGGAGCCCTGTGTTCTTCCTTGTCTGGGGTCGGAGAGGATCTTCAAAAGCTATAATTAGCTTTTCTAATCAACCCTGCTTTCCTGGAAGAACTTAGAGAGTAGAACAAGGCTGGGATTCCTGTGGCTATCCCAGAAGCCCATGGGCCTCTGCGGGAGTAGTTGGGGTGCTTGCTAGATGTCTTTCCCAGGCTCCCTAGCTCCTCTTTCCTCTCTGCAGCCATCTCAGAGCTGTGGATGTTTCTGCTCCTTCCTAGTATCTGTGACATTGGAGCAACCCTGGCCAAGGAAGAGAAGGCATCCATATTTGTGTCTGAGAGCTTGTCACCTTGGTATCCTGGAACCCTGAAACTACATTCCCCTGAACTGTAGGCTCTGAGGTACAGCCCGTTCTGAATGCAGGCATTCATTGTCCACTCCAGTGGGATGGTGGGAAGCGGTGGGGAGAGGTTTTCTTGGGAAACCCTGCAGAGATGGGAAGCCATGTCTGAGCTGAGGGAGGCCTCCCTAGCCCAGGGTACAGACAACACCTGTGAAATCCCCACCTGTCTCCATGAGTCTTCAGAGACTTGGGAGAACCTTGGCTCTTTTCTGCCCTTGCCCACTGAGAGATTCAGGTGCACAAGTTGACTTCTTGCCACACATACTTATCTGCGTGCAGGAGTTACCCGTATGGATGCCTTCTTTGTGTCCGAGAATGGCCTTGGCATAGTGACAGGCTATGTCATCAGTGTTGATGGCCATGCTGTGCTCAGCCAACACCCACATAGCAAGGCATCAAATACATGTCTGGCAACTAGAGTTAATGATTCTTATGAAACCTTCCCTTGGGGTACAGTGAGGACACAGGCAGGCACTGAGCATTTCCATCATGGTGGCTGAAGAGGCCATTCACTAGATG